CCCAACGCCACAAAGATTACCAGGTGGGAGGAACCAAGACGCTGGGATGGCGAAGTAGAATGCTGCACTTCCTCCAGCTCTAAAAAAAATACACCCACCCCGGCATTACCGATACAGTCGTAATGGTAGTGGAAGGCTGTCAAGCCGGTCGCCACTAAGCTGGTCAACACTCCACGCGCTCTTTTCTGCCAAATCACAAAATGAGGCCCGCTCTCCCGGAGCGTTAAAGCGACTGGGCGACTCCGAGAGCTGCGGCGAATCGATGACACAAAATTGGCTGACCAATAAGAGTATGCTCTTGGCCTGACGTTACAAAACGGCCCAATTATTTTTCTGGAATTGGCGGAAAGCTCGCGCGCCCGTGGGCGTTACTTGGGGGCGTGGCCCGGCGGAGGTCTGGCCGTTTGAGCTGCCAGACGCCATGGAGGAGTACGCTCGAGAGCCTTGGTACGATGGTGGTCACAGGCGTCCGGACGGTTGCTGCGGCGCCCAGGCCAGCCATGGGAGGCGGGCGGGGGAGGCCTGGGCCACACAGTGCCACGTCCCAGACTCGGTAGACGCTTAGAAATATAACTTCTTCCGCTCCCCCAACTGGCTTCTCCCACTCGGGCGCCGTTAAGAGGGTCCTCAGTTGTGTGCCCAAGAAGTGCGGCTACTGGACAAATCACCTCAAGTTTCCTCTGATTTCGGGGCTCCTCGTCCCGCCTTGTTAACATAGAGAATCGCTGGCCAGATCCACGCTGGCGGCCGGGGGAGGGGCGGCTGAGCGGAAACCCGCAGGGTTACCGCGTGGGGTTTTTCCCTGGTTTTGCGGAATCGGGGCGGGGCATCGATGAGCCTATGGTGAGCAAGGAAAGGTTCTTGAGGCCTCGGGAGCTTAATTTGTCCCTGTCCTGGGTTTCAAAGGTGCAAAATGGAGGAACTTAGTTGGACGTGCTCACTGTGAAAAAAGGAGGTGCCATCCCGTCCTGTTTCTTTTAACAGCACTAGCTTGTTAACGCTTCCGCTGTTGAAAGGTTTAAACGTGCCAACTCCGCATCTCTCAGTCCGTTTGATCTTTGATAGTAAAACAGATGGCTGATCTCCTGCTTGGGATCAAGAATATTTCCCCGTTTTGCTCCACTTCTCGTTTTCATGAGGTTAA